TTTCCATGCGCCGGGAAATTTTTTTTCAAAAACTTTCGGCTATAAGCTGAGACCCCCTCTAGAGCCCAAATTTTAATTCACTTCAGTTTTAATTTGTGTAAAAATCGCTCGGCTTATAGTCGAATAAATACGGTATCTACGCAAAACAGACCCGAAAATAGTTCAAAAATATAGAGTGACTAGGAATTTTTAGACAGTTCACAGTCCCCTATATTTTCATGAGATCATCAAGATATATAGTCTGCTACACAGCCGTTTTTAGTGTCGTCACGAAATGCTCCTCCCCACTGACGGCTGCTGAAAACGGAACAACATTCCTTTCCCGCGATTAGCCAGTTAGAATTCAGCTCCCATTTTCTGGAAGGTGTTCGTGCCACGTTTGAGGTATGGTGACTCCTCCAATCACAGCTTTGCTTTTATCGTTGCCCCATGTGTGAATGACAGAACAATCAAAATCGTCGCATGAAAACAAGCAATCAACTAGAGTAGTGTTGTCGTAGTCCAGTCCTTTCAAAATTTTTGAGATAAGTAGCAACAGCAAGCAAGTTGAGCAAATATGATGCACAACATGGATGTGCTTATAAAGTTGCCGCGTATAGTTTTGGGAAATCGCTTATCGATAATTTATAAGATTGCTTTCGTTTGAATCAGTACCCCTGGGAGTTTAGTCTACACAGTCTTAGCTTCACATGTACAATAACACAATGAGCACATCCGGCACATGAAATTCATCATACATATGTGCGTTAAAAAGAACCAACCGATCCTGGTAAGAGTCTTGTAGGCCTATCAAACCCTTTTTTTCACTTGGAATTTTGTTAACCGCTTAAAACAAACTTTTCTGCAAACAACCTTTTCGTTGCTTGCAGACACAGAGCCCATCAAAATTCAGCGACGATTGATTGATTTGTCAAAAACTGAGAAGCGTGTTCGCTCCTAGCACCCTGCGGCTCACGTATTGTCAAGTTTCTTATACATGATTGGTTTCTTCATTAGACCACAAACACAAAGGGAAAGGAAGGTGGTTCGGTTTTCAGCAGCCGTTAGTGGGAAGGAGCATTGCGTGACGACACTAAAAACGGCTGTGTAGCAAACTACAAGATATAGTGCATCTTACCATTAATGGTGGCCATCTTGATTTTCAAATGTATCGAGGGGGCATGCGTCGGGATTATGCTGTAGGGGAAGGGGGGCAAGAAAAATAGAGGGACTGTAATAACAGCAACTCGCTACGCAGCTCGTGTTCAGAGAGTGTGTTGTACCAGCAACACAGGCATTTGATTGGTCATTAGACAATAGATGTTAATTTGCGTTGACAATGGGTTTAGTTTAAGTTGCCAACACTGACAAGTTGTTGACAAGTTGTTGTTTCTATAAAACGTATGCTTCATAAGTACCAAGTAAGTACCAACACATAAGTACCAACACATGAAGGATTCTTGGTATTCTGAGAATGAATCATGTAAGCCAACATGCTTTTGAAGCAGCCCAGCCAGGGAATGTTGTAACACAGTTTCTGCCAAACGAACTGAAATTTAACACTACACCGGTTATCAAGAGGTTAATCGTTTTAATCTGTGGTGAAGCAAGCATGCTTAGCTCTTCGATTAGGAAAATGTTTCACCTGTGCATGTTTGTTGATTTTATTTGGAGGCATGGCCCAGAAACTGTATAAAATCACTGCTTCGAAAGGAGATATTTGTAAACACATGTAATAGATGCTAAAAGTGTCTGGCATGTTTTTTATCACCAGCAGAGTTTCTTAATTAATGAATGGTAAAAGGTGTAAAATCCCTGTCACGCCTCCTGAATGCGAGCTGCTGTGATGTTATTACGGTCCCTCTATTTTTCTCACTTCCTCCCAAACCGCCCCGCCCCCGCCCCCTAAGTAGTTTTGACGCTCATGCAAGATAGCAGCCCGTAACGCAAAGCGCTCGATTTCAACGATCTTACAGAAAAATAGAGGACTGTGAACAGTCTAAGGAATTTTCTACAAACTTATTTTCCAAAGCTGTTACATTATGCTAATGAGGTTAAAGCTAATTAATTAGCATAATGAAATTCAACACCTCGTGGTTTGCTGTTCACCTTCAAAAGACACTTCATTTTTTAGTTTCTAACAAAATATCGGGCTAAAAACTAGCACACATGAATTTACTGATAGAATTCATCAAAATAAACAAGGCTTTGAAGGCAAAAAGCTAAGCGGAAAGGAATTCCTGGCGTTTGAAGAGTATCAGAGAGTATGTGTGGAAGACATGGCCGGCTCGGCGAATTGCACGCAAAGATCTCTATACTGTTTTCTTACCTCGATTTTTACTTCTTATCCTCCAAAATCCTTCAAAATAATTTGCTTCACTTGTATTTGGTCAAAATTCGTCGATACAAGCTTTCATTCTTTGCAAAACCCGCAACAAACTCCTTGCCGCATTTCTCAGATAGCGTGAAGCTAATAACCCACCGGGGACTGGGACTAGCCAAATCTATTTGTGCGCCAAATTTGGAGACAACAGGAAGTAACGCAAAGTTTGGCGAATATATTTCGTTGTCGGTCCTGAAGCTCCTATAATTACACCACCGGGAGACAATTTATGAGACTCAATATGATTCGTAAGGCAGCGAAGAAAGAATAATTACATCACTGCAAACCGCATCATGTTAAGATAGATGTTACTAATCATATCATATATCGAATGATATCATTGGTTCGTGTGCATGCACTAGCCAAAATAGGCTTACACTTTCGTTCCTACTTTATAATTATCAAATCTAACTTTGATTCTGCTTTACAATTCTACATGACTTGGATCGATACATGTATTTACGGTGGCCCACAACGGCAATACACAAATATATATATCATATTACTGCCTTCTATATCTTAGTACACAAACATATTCATTGGCTGTGCGAGTATATTTACCAGTACAATAAAATATACACCAGTACAACAATATGCATCCCAGTAAAGAAATATAAATTTCAGTACAAAAATAAAAGTTTCGGTACAGAAAAATATTTTTTAAAAACTTTGGAAAAAATCGGTAGGTACTTTATATATGATTATTACTATGTACCTAAATATATATATGTATAACACCATAGATCCCCAGGGGGGGCACTTGGGTATTTTCTGGGTGGGTGAGTGTCGCCCGGTACTCCAAATTGGCACCCCGTTCTAGAAAAAATTTCCCCTAAAATTGATACCCCGTTCTAGAAATGGGCCAATTTTTTATACCCCGTTCTAGAATTCGCCCTAAAACTGATACCCCGTTCTAGAAATGGGCCAATTTTTCATACTCCGTTCTAGGGTGCAACAAGAGTACAACGGTTTGCTTGTTAACGCATTGAACCGTATTTTTAAAAGTAATCTGGCCTTGAATACTTTCAAATGGCTGCTTACAAAAGTGGAGCTTTCGTGCGTTCGAAATATTATACCCCGTTCTACAAAACGCCTCTGAAATGGATACCCCGTTCTAAATCAGGAGCTTCAAAATCACGACCCCTTTGGGCGGCACATACCCGTATAGGTAATGTATGGGAGTACCCCCCCCGGGCATAGACCCCTATACATCACCATACATCCATGTCAGCACCCATGTATAATACCATGCACCTCTTTACATCACCATATACCTCTTTTCATCACCATACACCTCTATATATCACCATACACCCATGTATAAAACCATGAACCCCTATACATCACCATATACCTCTATACAACATCTTACACCCCTATTCATAACCATACACTCGTATACAATGGTCATGTGTAGAGGTCTATGGTTATGTATAGGGGTGTAAGGTGATGTATAGAGGTATATGGTGACGTATAGAGGTGCATGGTATTATACATGGGTGTTTGGTGAGGTATAGAGGTGCATGGTATTATACATGGGTGTTTGGTGAGGTATAGAGGTGCATGGTGTTATACATGGATGTATGATGATGTATAGGGGTATGTGGTGATGTATAGAGGTATATGGTGAAGTATAGAGGTGTATGTTGTTATAAATGGGTGTATGTTTAGTGGTATTTGGTGAGGTGTAGCGGTGCACGGTGTTGGATGGTGATGCATGAGGTTGTATAGAGGTGAATGGTTGTGTTTAGTCGAGATAATCTATAACAATGAAATATATAAGGTTTGTTTAGGTACACTATAATAAGCATATGTTTAGGTACATGGTAATAATCATATATGAAGTACCTGCCGATTTCTCCAATTTTTCTTTTGTAATTTTTCTGTACAGAAACTTTTATTTTTGTACTGGGAAAAATATTGTTGTACTGTTGTATACATGAATGAAGAATATAGTCGCACAACCGATGAATATGTTTGTGCTGGAACTTATGTTTTTTTACTGAGAGATTGATATTTTTTTTCACTGGAGCTGTTATTTGGTGTACTAAGAACTGGAGATATCTTTCCGTACTGGAGTTTATATTTTTGTACTGAAATTAACATTTCTGTACTGGGACACATATTGTTGTACTGGTGTATATTTTATTGTACTGGTAAATATACTCGCACAGCCAATGGATATGTTTGTGTACTAAGATATAGAATGCAGTAATATGATATATATATTTGCGTATTGCCATTGTGGGCCACCGTACCTTTTAGACCACAAAAATGGGAACTTTTCATAAGGCCAAAAATCGCAATTTTCCAAAGAGGTTACCGTTAACCCATGATTTTGCTCCAAAAATTCAAAATTTTTCCCTATTACATTTTTCGCAAAAAATAGAGTTTCTTCATGGTCTAAATTAAAAAGAACTCATTTTAGACCACAAAAATGGGAACTCTTCATAATGCCAAAAATCGCAATTTAACAAAGGGGTTAAGCTTAAAAATAGAGTTTCTTGCTGCTCTAAATAAAAAAGAAGCCTTTTTTGACGGACCAAAGGGGTTCAGACCCTACCCCCCGTAAATGCTTTGCGGTCGTGGGACGAAAACATGTTTTTCTTACACGAAGTACATAGTAGGGTTTACCAACATGGCGGCCTCGAAGCTCGAAATCAATTTCCGCCGTCTTTTGGAACGCTGCGAAGCGATGGCCTCAGAAATCCAGGAGAATAAAGAAAACGTAAGCTGGAGGTTGGAAAAAGTGAGTTGTAGCATTCATCAAAAAATTGTTTTCTTCTGTTTCCTCTCTAGGATTTGAACAAAGCTATCTGGTCGGGTTTGTAACAATTTTTTCACAGTTTTTATACTCCATATTGCAGTATGTTTTAACGTTACAGAGGCAAGCTACCGAACTGAAAAAGTCAGAAAGGTTAGTTTTTAAATGCAGAGAAATAAGACAAAGGTTAAACGAGCAATACGTTAATGTAAAATACTGCTTTTCAATAATAAGGTTAAAACAGCTGATACAGGTAGTCTTTACTCTGATGGGTCTTTATGTCGGGTCGATTGTATTTATTATTAATATTTTAGTCATCACAATAGAGCTTTTTTATTAGTACCTGACCCAGTTCAATAAAGGAGAAGAAAGTCTTTTCATATTAAAGGAAAGAGTTCAACGTCTTGGTATACCGACAATGGACATAGCTAGTTCATTGTTCAATTTTGGTACCCCACTATTGCGGACTGAAGTATACCTGTATCGTACAAACGCGCTATAATGACAAATCTAATTAATTGATATCAACTAATCTGGCAATAGAAACCAGACCCATATGCACATTTCTCCTGTTACTGCATGTGTGTAGTAACCGTTAAACTTTTATCAAATAAAAGTGAACGTCTCTTTTACAGTGCAGTAAGTAAGCTCATCCATAACCTGGATTAGACGGGACTCCAGCCTTGAACATAACTTTTCTTGATCCTATCGGCTTCTGTTTGGCGTAAAAACAAGGTGGGGGCCCGCACCCCTCGGCACCTTCCCCTAGATCCTAGATCCTGTCTATCAGTAGCGTAAAGGTAGACATCTCCCTTTGGTAGAAGGCAGCGTTGGCTGGCCCGAGCTAAATTTAAGTTGTCTAGCAGTATACAACATTCTGAAAGGCAGATGACTTGTGTCTCTAACGTACTGTAGGCATCAGTGGTCAGGGATGTAGATAATAGCCGGGAGCCGGGAAAAATACCTGGTTGTCAACATAATTTTTCCAGCTGAAAAAAATGCAGTCTTTAAAAAGGCAACTGTTTTCTTCTCATGTTATCTGCCAATCAAATGCCATTTCCCATCGGTTATAAATTTAAGCTACATCCCTGGGCCCAGTTGTTCGAAAGGAGGTTAGTGCTAACCTGGGGTTAAATTTTAACTGGGGTTTCATTTTCTTTTAATGAAAAGCACTCACTCGGATAATTTTCTCTATTCTTTTTAAAGTATCCAATCATCAAGTTGTAGGCAAAGTGCATTAAATTGAATTTGCTTTTTAAGCTCTCATTTCTGAGTTCAAATTTCGCACTAACCCTGGGTTATCTAAACCCAGCTTCGAACAACCCGGCCCTGGAGGTTAGCTGATACCAGCTTCCGAGTTTCACTTTTTGGCACTCTCTAACTAAACTTTCTTCAATTCAAAGCAAACATTCGCATGGTGAAAAAACCTCTAATAAAGATACTGGTGGTTGTTTAATTTTTTGCATCACCAATAAGTGTAGCTAGCATTTCAGGTCATGCCAGCTCTTATGATTAAAAAAGCATACCTTTTCAAAAACTGGGAAATCAAAATATTTTGGTTCCATCAGCTTGTCGAGTCACATGTAAGATACATTTTTGGAAATAATCAAAACATTTTATATTAATTATTTTTTTGTCTTGTTACAGCAAACCAAGTCCAGATGCAATGACTGAATACAGCAAGAAAGTAGAGTTCCTTAAAGGTTTAATAGAAACACAGAAAATGGTGAGACAGATCAATGTTTTGAAATCTTAAGATACGCATCTGTTGTTGCATTCAAATGGGAAAAATTATTGTTTAGGAATAACTAGGAAATGCTTGTCATCAGAGAATATACAAGTACAATAAATTGTATATCATTTGTATGTTACCGGTAAGTATTTTACCATTAGTTGCATGTAAGTGTGGACACGAGATAAAAAAAACATGTTCTAATAGGGTGCCTGACATGCCGCTATAGCAAACTGTCACACCAAAGGTAATTTGTTTATATGTTCTTGATTGGCGTGGTCTGCTCATATTCCATTTACGTTTACACTTGACTTTCCGTATATTGTCTTCTGTTTTATTTACGTGAGTAAAACTTATATGCATATGCACGTAAAAATTATTTTTTATCCACCATCAGTCATAAGGGGAAAATCCAGGCACCCTTCAATTTCTACTGGCTCTGAAACAGCTGAAAATACCTTGATAATTTAGGTTTGTTAGAAGCTCTCACATTCTCTTTTCCAAGGGTTTGTTCCCTTTAATTTTCTATTGCAGTTATTGTATATCCATGTAAAATAAGACTTACCTTCACTTTGTTTTGTAGAAATCACCAACAGAAAAACTTCTCGCCAGTCGGCAGTTAGTGCGTCCACTGAGTCAAACATCCAATGCACAGACCACAGAGGCAGACAAAGGACAAACAGTAAACAGAGCACAAGAACTTCACATCAGGGCCAAGTCACAGATAAATAAAGAGATGAGAAGTGAACTTCTGGGAGAAGGTGAGAATAATGCAGCTAACAATATTTCACTTCTGATACAATGCACTTGTAAGTTGGTTTATTTGATATTTATTTTTGTTGATTTTTGTAAGGATCATACACATTACTGGCTCACATTCCTCGACACATTACAAAGGTTTTCTTAGCCCAATATTTTCACAAAACTAGGGACTTTCAGGGCACCTTATCATGGCACATTCATTTTGCCTTGTTTTTGGTCATTTTGTGACATGAAATACTTTGGTTTTTTAAAAGTAAATTGAATAATAAATTTAATTAATTTATTAGTGTTAAAAGTTAACAAGGAACCTTGCTTATTTTCCAGACAATAAGAAAGACAATCATGGAGTGCGAAACAGGTGACTGATTATATAATATTATTTTCACTAGTTTGGTCCCTTAGTCATTGTAACAAATAACTCTTTATTTTCAAATCCCTCATAATCACTCTGTTTGCTCTCAATGCAACACTTGGCATAAACTATAGTCTTCAAATGCTCGTGGGAGAACTGTGTAATTCCAAGGGCTTCTGAGAACAAAAACTTTATTTATATGCAAAGCCTCAATCGGTGATAAAATTGTTGAGACATTGTACTCAAATAGGGTAACTTCAGAAAACAAAAGAATGCACACCCTTCCTCCCTACACAATTCAAAGTTGGGGTGTTTGTTGTTTTCTGTACGTAGCTTGAACAGCAGCACAACATTGCATGGAGGGGATGGGGGAGGAAAAGCTTTATTTTCATCTTTTGAAGTCAGTAAAACCTCAGAAAGCTGATTTTGTCACCAATTGTAGGGAGGCAAACAGGGTGTATTATGTGGAAACTCCAAAAATAAAAGTCAGTGGAAAAAAATCCCTGATAGCAAGTCAGTATGACTTTGTAAGTATGTACTGGTGTCAACTTAATATTTTCTGCATCATGAATTGTTGGTTAGTGTTGAACAATCTGCCTTTTATAGCCTGTGTTCCAGCTCCTTCCCACACATTGTCTAAACCCTCAGAGTGTGCTCCATTTGAATGATCCAAATAAGGATCAGTGACTTGTGATCACTCAGAATATAGCACATCAAAGGACCTGATGAATCAACCCTGGGAAAGGATTCATCAGTTCACTTGACGTACCACTGCATGGTTTCAAATCGAGAGGGGCTGGATATGAGTCAGTTTATTATGGGCTAAACAACATGAGACCTATATAGTCAGAAAGAGTGAATTAGCAACATTCTGAAGTTTGGTGTTTATTGGGCCTATATTGAATGATATAAATAGATGTACGGACGATGTGACCGGCAATCCATACATGTACATCTCTTATAAAAGTGATTTTCAAGTTTACCGATAGCTGTATCTTGCTTGATATTGACCCGATCGACACCACACTTTCATAACCTCAATGTGCTTTTTCTGACCATGTGGATCTCATGTTGTTTATCTCATAATAAACCGACTTGTACCCAGCCCCTCTCGATTTGAAACTAGGCAATGGCCGAGTGATCTCTACCCTGGATCATCCCAAAAGGAACTCACCCTTAGTCTATACAGGCTGTGCATGTAGTGTCTGCCATGCAGGCTACTTGTTTTTGACAATCTTTTTTCTTGAAGATTAACAGGCAACAAGAAAAGTGATGCAAATGATGAAAGTATTGACTCAGTTCTACAATACCATCAGAACTTACAAGAAAATATAGCAGAGGAAATGATAAAAATGGCTCAGCATATAAAACATACATCTGTCATGGCCAGCAACATTATTAAAGAAGATAACAAGGTTACTAGGATGTTTGTCCTTTAATAACAGTAAATAACAAATTATTGGATGAGGTCTTTTCCTGACATCTGAAACAGACTAGGTCAAGTAAATATTATTGGCTGAAGCTGATAACTCTTACTGAGACTTTGATTATTGCGAATACCGTATTTCTTTGAATAATAGCCGTCCATCAATTAATCGCCTTCCTTGAATAATTGTCCCCCCCCCCCCTGATGGAAATGTTTAAAATAATCGCCTCCCTATAGGTTACCCAATAGGGATAGCCATTGTGGAACTTGGAGGATGGAGCTAAAGTGGAGTCTGACTAAGCAAAACTGATCAGTGATGATTCAAGCTCAGACACCTCGGAAATTCACAGCAAAAAATCAATCAATTAGGAACCAAATTTGAAACACTTTAAATGCCAATGTTCAGTTTATCTGATGTGATCATTTTTTTATTTAATGGGAAAATAGAACAAATATTTGGGGCATGACTTCTAGTCAGCAATATTTGAAATAGTCACCTCCCTTGAATTATCGCCTTCCCTCGAATAATCACCCCCTTTTGGTGCAAAAAAAGAAATAATCACCCCCAGCTATTATTCAAGGAAATACGGTATCCAATGAGAATTGTTTTATTATACACGGTTGTGAAGAAAATAGTGTTATGATAAACACATTGTCCTTGAATACCAAGCTTTGTGAACACAATTTGAAGACTGTCATAGATATGATCAGCTACCAAGGTGACCCCTGGCCTACTGTTATAAATTTAACAGAATAAAAATAGAACCAAATGAAATCTCTACCTGTTTGATTCCCTGCAACTTGAAATCTTAGTGACAACCATATAAATTTGTATCACTAAGTTTCTTTACTATTGTAGAGACGAATTACCCAAATTTTTTGTGGCAAAACCACTGCCAAGAATGCAAAAAGTCCACTTTTGGTTGACGTGCATTATTCCAAACAATGTTGTTTAAAAGCTACGGTAACATGGTTTTTCAGAATTGTTGATGTGGACTTAAGTTAAGGCTTTAAAACGGCTCCTATAAAGGATAATGCCTCAGCCCGAAGGCCTTGTTAAAGATAATGACCGAGTGCCCGAGGTCATTATTTTTAACAAGGCCTTGGGCCAAGGGGTATTATTTAATGTACTTTTCCACTGTTTTAGAACCAGCAAGTCATAATTAGGATCTCTTGTCCCACCAGAGTGACCTGGGCTTTAATTTACTGAAAATTATAAGTAATGTTTAAAACAAATAGGAATGTGCATTAATAACAAGGAAGGCGTATTTACAAATCGGTCAGTTTAGAAAGGCTCCATGTAAATACAACAGAGATAAACTTTAAAAAAACTTACTGTTCAATTTTGTGTTTTGTTTTTTAGACCTTGGAGCAGTCAACAAAGCTTGCAGATTCAAATTTTGAGAAACTAAAACGAGAATCAGAAAGACTTGAGGAATTAACACAGACACCATGTTCCTGGTGGATTTGGATTATGATAATTACAGTCTGTACTGTGTTTATGTGGATGATTATATTTATTAGACTTTTCCCAAAGAAGTGATATTGTGATAACCTTAAAGTAGAACTCTTCAAACAAAAAAGGTTCCAAGAACATACAAAGATTACAATATTATTTGAAAATAATATGCAATAAAACAACTTTGAAGAAGACTGTTTCGGGTTACTGTGTTTAATTTATCAAAAGTTAAAATTCTTCTGGGTCCAGTTGTTCAAAAGGTGGATAATGTTATTCATTGGATAAATCTTTATCCAGTGGATAATGCAATATTTGCTTCCCTAATACTTATCCGCTAGATAGAGATTTATCTGTTGGATAGCAATTTCGAACGTTTGAACCAACAGGGACAGGAAACCACTTAAGTGTCAATGCATTCAGCATGAAAGTACTGATAAAGGCAGGGTGCAAAGAAAATCACTTTTACAGCCTGCCATTCGAGCAACCTGTAGCTAGCATGTACTAACCCACAAGTCATTTCAACTAGCCCCAAAACCCTTTTTGATTAGCAGGATTGATTACAATCCTTCTGTAATTTGAATTTCCCTAAAAAGCAGCACTTGCCCGTCCGGACACAACTTCCTTTGCACGCTGTGAAGGCCAATATTTTTATATCTCCTACTGGAGACATTACTGCACTGCCATTTTACTTGGTCATCTGCGCCACACAAAGGTGTTGTCATTTGAAGGGCAAAGATGGTAGCTTCAATTCTCAGTTAATTTTAATCCCTGGGTATTGGTCAGGGCACCTGGGAATCAAACCTATGAACTTCCTGCAATAAAGCACTCTAGCAACTAAGGGTGATTTCCAAAAGTCAGTAATGGGTGGCTGAACCATGATCGGACCAGTCAGTTTGAAAATGAAATTGGCTTTTTCAAAGAGTGTTTGCTGAAAACTGTCTCTGTAATGCAAACTATTCAGGATGTGACTCACTGATCTAGCCGGATAGTTTTGATTAAAAGTAAAATTCTCATTATGATAGGAATGGTCTGGCCAGTCGGTGACAAATAGAAAGCACTCTGAGTTAGTATTAAAACAAAGAAAATCAAACCTAAGGGTAAATGAGGCTAACTTGGGAAGGCAAAAGAGTAAAGTAAGGAGGAGTGAGGGTAGAAAGGTAAGAGGGTGGAGGGGTGAACCAAATGTCTTGCAATCCCTAAATGGAAAATGACTGAGTTGAGATCGCCCTCTACCATCTGAAAATTGATGTTTAAAAAATCTACTATATTCTTGCTGCTTTCACAGCATTATTCACTCAGGTAAATGTACGTCAATAAATTTTAGAATTTATTTACACTGTAGACCTTTACTATGTTGTCCACTGAAAGGAGTAAATAAATTACCCAGCTAATTCACTTTACAGTTTCAAATAGAGAATGCAACTTGTAAGTCTCATCTCTTATTTTAATGCACGTCCTTATTCACTATGGAACTTAATGTTAGGGAAAGAATTAACTGTAAATGGCAAAATCACGGCTTTGTGTCAAACAAATATAGCCGTCTCCCAAGCAACAAAAATTCACAACAAAAATAAACTTTACAGATCCTTGTTTTCTCCCCTCACATTGCCTTTTCATTTCCATGTGTTACACGATCTGAGCATGCACTTGCGTTCTTCACTCGCTCTGTTTTCTCTGGTTGAAGTTGTGTTGTTGTCAGTGAACTGACAACAACAGTCCTATCCAGGGCTACGTTCACCCGGACAATCAAACTCTACCTACTTTTGAGTATTCAAAGGGTTGCTAAACATTGAATTCCCTTAAGGGAGTTTTATCTCTATGTACAGAAATGGAATAAGAAGATCCAATATATAATAGCATGATTCAAGATAAGCTGTCAAACTGACATGAAGTTCAAGAAGTTCAATCACAGATCCTACAAAAGATTAACTACAATTTCCACTCAGTTTCCAAAGTAAAACATGCATACGTTGTGGCTTAACATGAAAAAACAAGAGAGTCAAAAGAGTATTAAGCTTCAGTCTCAGTTAAAATTGTTGGGACACTTTGCTGTCTTCTTGCCGTCCCAATGTTGGTGTGCAAGATTTGGTGAGTTAACTGTGATAAACAACATTGGAAGGACGACGAGACGGGCAAAAACTGAAAAAAACAGCGTTGGGTGAACTCGAGTGTCCCAAGTATTTTTGTTGAGACTGTAGTTATAAACTATTTCCCTTATTCATTTAGGCTATGTTCACACTTTTCCGATAGCTCTTGCGCTGACACGAAAGAACACATGTTCACACATAACAGTGATTTTGGCAAACTTGAAAGTGGATCATCACATATCGGGTAAGTTTCTGGGACAAACCTCGAGTGCACTTGATTGAATAGGTTGTTTCCCTAACAATATTATCTGCTGGATATCGTCGAATTATCCAGTAGATAGTAGAAAGCGCTGTGCATATCTTTTCAATTGGGCCTATGAAGTGGGAGACAAACTGAAAAAAACTTTCTTGACAATGTCAATGAATACAGCACTGAGAGACAAGAACGCAAAACCTTTTGCGTTAGAATTCCCTGTCTAAGGGGCTGCTTACATGAAGGGAGGAACATCCTAGTACCAGGAAGATCCTAGAAGACAGATCATCCTTGCGCCATATGCCTTTTTCTGTATTTGGCTTACATGCAAAGGGTTGTACTTGTTCCTAGAGCTGGGATCTTCCTAGTACTAGGATCTTCCTAGCTGATCCGAGCACCATGTAAACTGCCTTCGCTAGGAAGATCCTAGTACTAGGGAAAAAAAAAACAGACAAAAATAGCGGCGGGTCGTTTAGTGGCTAATCACGACAATAAAGGCCGACCATTTCGTTTGGGGTTAACACGAGCTGATCATTGTGATAATTGTGCTGAAAGGAAGTTGTTAACGCCAGTAAAGAGAGCAGAAGGGCCCAAATTGTATGTTTGTTTTTGTCGCCCGCCATTTTTAATTCCTTCTCAAACATTCTATATTTGGGTAACACACGGACCAAAATAGTTGCATGTAAACCCAACGTAAAGTTGATCCACCTTCTAGGATCTTCCTTCCTCCATGTAAAGAGCCGCTAATAATTAGCAGAAGCATTATACTGGGCATTATACTGATGAACAGTTTTTTGTTAGATATATTCAGAACCAGCAACTAGCCGTCTGTCCCTTTGAATCCTTTTCTTTTCAAGCCACACTTTTACTTTGTCCTTATCTATTACTCTAAACGTCTAAAAGTTGACTTTCCGTGCAACGCCTGAGTATAATGTCATGACACTTTTGAACCTTATTTTACTCTCCATAGAAAGTCACAGAGAGTTCAAATGTGGATAATGATCGGTATTTTAACTGAAGTTTGCTTAAGTCATATAAACGACTATTGCCTGTAGCGCAATGGTTGTTGACTTGCAGTCTCACTGTTTTCAGGGAGGAGCAACTCATCATTAAATAGTCACACAAACTTGGTAACCAGTCTTCACTTCCTTCACAACAGATGTTGACTGTCAGATTGAGTTCAGTTAATGAGGTGTTTTCTGGAAAATTACCATCACGTCTACCTGGATAAAGCCAGTCATGCTGTTTACCATAACTGTAGTCATTTAGTGTCAGAGTGAGTGTAGTTAGCGACTTGTTTTCCGCTATAAAACTTTTCAGAGAGCCTACCCACAATGCACAGCTCGAGAGTTGGTAATCACTGACTGTCACAGTGAGGGACGCTATTGAATTGTTCACTGAGAGTGGTCCAATGAAAATCGCTTCCAAGTCAACATAAGTACGGGTGATGTGGTTAATCGTAATGACCAGCTCCTTTAAAGATGAGGTATATGCCAGTCCAAACGCGAGACCTTCTTGCCAACTCACAGGTTTTTCTATTGAATCGATCAAGAGGGTGGCATCGTAAGGGCTATCTGTGTAGTCGTTGCTTGTAAGGCAGAGTTTTGTTAGTGAATTGCATTCATCCAAACATTTTCTCAGAAATTTACCCCAAAAGTCAGTTAACTTACTACCGTTGATTACGACGGAAAGTGTAGACAAGGACTTCACCACCATCAAATCTTCTCCAAATTTCACCCCTCCGCCACGATCGTCAATTGAGAGACTAAGGGTAGTTAATGACGCCATTTTAGCCAAGCTGTTGACCAGCGTACATTCCCAGCCTTCTGCCATGTTACTGTAGTTGCTGATTGTAAGACTTAAGACTGTTAATGAAGAACTCCGCAGCAAACTATCCCCGAGGTATTTCCAAATTCCTGGATTCATTGTGTAGTTGCTCACTGTAAGATCCAGCGTGGTTAGCGATGTGCTTTCCGCCAAAGCATCACCTAGCAGACGTGGCCAGTCACTAATTACTTTATCGTCGTTAATTATTTTAAGAGTGATCCTCTCCTTCCTGGTATTCCTAACTTCAGAGAACATTGGTGTCAGCGACGCAGCATTGTTGATACAGACATCAAGAGCATTACACGCTTCCTTAGGAACAACAGAGACGCCATGCTCTTTTACTTGAACAGTTACGTTTTTATCTGATAGTTCCTGAAGTAGGGTTCCTGTCCCCGGGGCCAACTCTCCCCAAATATCGATTGTTAGGGAGGACAGTGTATTTTGTCGTCCTAGGTATCTTTTAATAATATTAGCAACACCATCACTTAAATTTCCATGTACTTTCAAAGTCAGGCTTGTCAGGGGGACACGCATAAATCTTCTGCTCCACTACACTTCAGCTCTCCCCAAAGATTTACCGTAAAGTGTTGTTTTGTTTCTAGCCCCTTCTCGACCACAGCAGGACAAAAATGCGCCACTTGATTACATTTAACACTGCTGCCTGGGTCTGGATAAAAAGTACAGTTAAGTGACCCCTTCTTTACTGAACGAAGCTTTTCCACAACAGACTGCCAGTTGCCAGGAATCTCTCCACGAAGAGTCAATGCTAAATCACTTAAAGAACGATTTTCTAGAAGACTGTTTTGAAGAGCAGTCACACTAGAGAGACTAAGGTTGCCGTCAACAATAAAAGCCAATGCCTTGAGTGCAGTTTGTTGTGCAATTCCTCTGCTAATGACGGCAGCTACAAATTCTAGCACATCTCCAGAGATATTAAGGGAAAATGAGACCAAAGCTTTATTTGATAAAAGCTTTCCTAAACCATACACCGCAGTATCACTCAATGATCCTCGAACCTGGAGGTCCACAGATTTCACAGGAGTGTCCCCAGACAAAGCAGGTTCAATAGCACTCGTCCAATTCTTACCCCACACTCTGTCAAGTTGAAACGTTACTTTGCTCAAGACTTTGCGTGCAGCTAACAATTCACCGATGGCAACTGCTGCATCATAAGGGATACTGTCACTCACTTGTAGAGTAAACTCTGATAAAGTCGTGTTTCTAGATAAGCCCTTGTGTAGGGCTTTCGCTACATGTAGATCTGGTTTCATCGCTGGGGTGAAAATGGTAAGAGTCTGAAGCTGTGAGCAGGATTGTATAGACTCTGCAAAAATCTCATAGCTGAAACCATCTTCATATGAATCATAAACAGTAAGCCGAACTGGCTTCTGAAGGTTTGAAAAGGTTTTGCAAGCCTCTAAAACGTGCCATATGTTGCTAATCTTGTCATTGCCAAGCTCAATCTTAACATGCAGAGGAAAGGGTATGTAGGAACAAAGAGTCTCTGCCATTTTTTCAGCATGTCCACTTTCACTGAAGCTTTTCGTAAGGAAAGTTGCTGCTTCCCAGCCTTCGTCCTCAACAACATCCTGGTCCTCGTAATCATCCTCATCATCATCCTCATCCTCGTCCTCGTCCTCGTCCCCATCCTCGCTGTCAATGCCGTAACACTCATCTTCACTCTCTCGGTCATCTATCGTCGCTTCTCCAGACTCTGTGCAAGTGACCCAGTCCCATTCTCCATTGTTTTTCAGCTCCTCGCCAATCTGTGTGAATAGAATGTTTGCATCTCTCCCAAGTATACCGGAAACAAAAAGAAACACTTCCCGATACTTTTTCACCAGTTCATGAAACCTTAGACGCTCAAACAACCTTAACTCATTTCCTCGCAACTTGTGAGCAATAAAGACGGCCGCAAGGTACTCTTGGAAGGTCTTGTGAAGAAAGTAGTACTCATGTTGAGGCTTTATCTTCCTCAAACTTTCCTCCTTGTACACAAGGCCTACGTGACGGGAAACTAATCCTTTGTATCTTTTTTCAAGCTCAGCTAATTCACTTTCGCGAAAGCAATAGCGATCACTCAGCAGACACATCCAAGCTAGTTCTCCAAGTGCAAGAATACTTTCTTCAAATTGCTTCTCTAAAGCGTTGTTGTCTTGAGGAGCCTCCAGATTGTGTTTAGCGCAATGTCTCCTTAAAAGGCACAGTACAATAACTTGGTAAAGCTCAGAACGGGAAGATGGCAAATTCCCCTCATAGTCCTCATAAATAACACAAAGAAGAAGTAAATTAAGCGGATTATTTCGCAGGGCATGTAACAGAGTGTTTTCTTGAATTTCCTTAATGAGACTTTCTCCCTTTGGTGAATGCAAATTTAGGATCAACATTTTGAAAATGTTTTCTGATATACTCAAAAGCATCACTTTCCATGAATCCTTTAATCTCCAAAAGGATATCAAAGCAATATTTTCGTCGTACATCAATTCCCCTCTCTTGTCGGGAGGTAGCCAATACATAACAAAATGACAAAATTCTTCTTTGAAGCAGTTTATCAACAAATTGTTCCGATCCTTGGGGAAGCTCATCCAAACCGTCCAAAACGATTAAAGTTTTCTCCTGGTTATGAATGTCCTTAATGAAGTCAAACAGCCTCTCTTTGGTCCTCTCCTCAGTATCTTCTGGCAACAGTTGTTCACTGATGGTTTCCATTATATCTTTATGTATATCTCGACATTTCAAAAGCAACATCAGCTCGAATTTGGGAAAAGAACATTCCGCTGGGATTTTCCCATGTGCCCAGTCATAAGCAAGTGTAAGGCAAAACGTAGTTTTACCGATTCCTGGACTTCCCTCTACTAGCGTCATAACATCCTCACCTTTGTCAAGAGCTGTGAAGATGTCGAACACATTCACCTCTTTGTCTTCTACCCGGAAGTCTGCTTTTCGCCTTGAGACAATTTTAAGTCTCGTGTAGACGTCATCCAGGGGTAACTCAAAAGTGCTATCCCAGAAAAGTGGTCTTAAATGAGAGCGCCTTTTGTATTCAGCTTTGAGAAACTTCACAACAACTGAGATGAACCAACCTGCTGGAAACAAGAAGACCGGAAAATAATGGTCAGGATTTCACACTAACAACGTGTTAATTTGTAAAATGTGTCCTCTCATTATTTTGATCAGTAGAATGCCCGAAATTTCTCTTTATCGTCAGCGTACTTTTAAGTAAATAATTTAGAATAAATAATGCTTCTTTGAAATCTTTACTGTCGTCCTTTAACATTTTCCCTTTCTTCATGTTTCTTGCTATGCACAAATAGGCTTCACAAGACAATGTTGAATAAGGAATAGTAACTATTGGACAATTGGCGCCCTGGAGCTGGGGCTCAAACTGTTTTTACACTCATATTCTGATTAAACCAAACACCTGTGTTTCATTTCCCCACTGATAGAGCGCCACGGAGAAACTATCTTCTTTGACACTTTGCGGTGAAATCAATTCTAAGCAGCTGCCACAATTACATGAAGAATACTTTCTCTGAAAATTCTGTCACTTTAATGATTCGGCTCTTATTGGTGTTCCTTTAATGTGTTTACATGTAGGTTAACGTAATAAATCTCAAAAACGGTTCTTTTTCAGTCTCGAAAGAGTTAATAAACTTCAGATGGAAAAGTCCTTTACTGAGAACAAGCAAATAAACGAAAACGAAATATTTTTGCTCTTCGCAGTCTCTTAGTGACGCAAAAAAAAACAAACAAACAACCAAAAAGGTTAGGTTCTAAACTCTTCAAAATCAAAAATTCTTAACTCTTCAGGTTGAAGCTTGAGGGTGTTATTAAGGTTGTTCGAAATTGGGAGAGCGTGTCAGACGTGAAAAGCGTACAATTTGCTCCAAGCACGAGTGACAGCGACTCAAGCCTCGTGAGTGCCAAACTTCAAACCTGAAGCAGAGTGAGCGGGCATAATAAAGCCTCAATCAATGAACACAAAATCATCCATTTTGTGTTACTTACGATGCAGTGTGTGATACTAGTCCTATAGTCCTCAGAGCAGTGTACAGGATGTTTGTCACGTGAACCAAGTTTAGTGGCCTTAGTTCCTACCAGTCTCCTGTAGCTCAGTGGTAGAGTATCTGGACCAGTAACCAGAACCTCATAAGTTCGACTCCTATTCGGGGAGCACTTGAATTTTAATTACCAGCCGCCTGTATCGCTGACTGAACGACATCTTCCCCACTAAGATGGATGTACATATACAATATACATAAAAAGAAACAACTAACCCTTATTCGAACTTGAACAAAAACAAACCTTACCTTCATCTTTCAAGAGCCTTGGGTATTTTGGAGCTGGAATGTTACTTGAAGATAGCGGCCTTTTGCCTCTCTTGGAAGACTGACGTTTCTTTGACGAGCCTAAAATCCAATCAAATACTGTTTTTGTATTTTTCTCCATTTTTATATTTTACCTTCACGATATATACAGTAATATTCAATCCTTATATCCATTCCATTTGCAATTGTACTAACTAGCCACATAAATATGGCCATTCTATTAACAAAGCTTGAAAAAGGCCTGTCCGGCATTCGAGCCCTGAATCTTGTAATTATTTCCAAACGTTGCATAACTCTGTTGAATTGAACTAATCAAACAAAAAACACAGGACGAGACAGACTTGGATTTTGGAGTCCACACTGGTGATTCCGGATTCCAGGTAATGGATTTAGGATTCCAGTTGTTGAATTCCAAGGCCAAGGATTTCCAATTCCACGAAAAAAAATTCCTGAATTCCAGATTCCACAAGCAAAAGTTTCCCGGATTCTGAAATCCGGATTACCATTGGGCGATCAAGCCCTCTTTAGCTTGTATGTTCTGTTTTCCCAGAGGTCCAAGGGGAACTTGACTCTTTGTCTCTTTTTATGCGCAGATCATGTTTGCACGTGAATAAGATGTAAACTGAAAGAAACAGTTCTCGAGAGTATTTACACATGACCTGCATTGGAAAACAAAACCTACAAGCTAAAGAGGTCTATTGTTACTTATCACCTCGACACCCAACAATGACCAGCATTTAGATGTCGCAAGCTGAAAATTTCACTGAAAATAACCTACAATATTCAAAACAACCAAGCCTCTACGATAAAATGCAATTGCCTTATGCTGTGGGCCATTATCATTTTTAGCATGAAAAACGTACACCTGAAACGAGTATTATTTCTCGGCATCTAACATTGTTAATCTGTAACCAGTGTGAAAACGTTTTGACCTTGTAAGTCAATCTTAAACGAGTCTTGTTCACTGCTTCAACCACTTCTTAGTTATTTAACATCCCCACAAGGAATAATCATTAAGCCCAAAAAGACTAAAGTACATCTCCCAGACCTTCCTACATAGACAGCAATGAATTGCTCTTGTCGACATATTATTTGTGTTTCTAAGATTCAAGTGTACCTTTATAAAGATGTTTTTCAGTTGGAGAGGACTTTTCATCATGACAAATCACAATGGCTTTCTTAGATAAATTCTGCTCATCTGCACTGGGAACTAAACAAAAAAAAAATAACACAAATGTAGCGATTAATAATTTGTTACTTTTGACCCTCAGGGTTGGGAATAAGACGTTGAAAGGTATCGCGATTTTGAAACTCACTGAAATTGGCAAATGTAAGCGGACTTCACCGGTGGAGTTATTAAAAAGAGATTGATAATTTAATTGTCATTGTGAAGTTTTCACTAATGCTGTCACTGTAATTGCGTGAACTTACAAATATACATTCCCTAATGCCGGCAGATTACACAATACCAAGACCAATTTGTATTAAAAAGTGAACCTGTTACCTTGACAAATGGCAAGCATTCGTTGCACAAGTCTGTTACAGTGATCCTGCCAGCTGTACATCTCGGCATACTCTCCTTGAAGAAGCTTCGCCTCTCTCAGTCGCAGCTTCCTTTTTTTCTTCCGAACAGCTTTGATTGCATTGGCCCAATCTTTAGGATCTTCTGATTCTACTACACAATGTGAACCATTGGGAACTTCCTGTAAGGCCTCGCCAAGACCAGAGTTCCCACTGACCAACACAGGCAGACCAGCAGATAAAGCCTCAAGGGCGGCAAGACCAAATCCCTCAGTTCGTGATGGCATTATAGCAAGATCAACTTCACAAAACAACCGGGCTAACTGCTCTCTGCTTTCATTAAAACAACGCACAGTCAGTTGACTGCGATCAATGCCTTGCTTAAGTAACGAATCTTTTACTTTCTCCTCTTCTCCACTTGGAGCTCCAACAAACAACAGCTTATAGGGCTGTGGCTCGTCTTTCAACTCAGCAATAGCGCGAGCAGCGATGTCATATCCTTTCAGCTGAAAGTCTTCATTGTCACCACGTCCAAATACTAAAACACTGAATGTTTTTCTTAATTTCTTCAGTGGCTTGCTTTACATCAGAAAACTCTGAGAAGATGCCTGGGGTAAGATTGAGAACATCTTGATCCTTTCCACAGGCACGGAGATAACCTGAGAAAGCTTCAGCCAGCTTGGGACCAACTGCTACAACTTGATCAGCTTTTTCACAGAGTTTAACCTCAGCCTGGTGCTTTTTCTCACCTTTTGAAATAGCATCTGCGTAGGACTTGTACATACCAAGCTCTTCAGGAGCTGTATGAACGACCTGAATCCATTGGCACTTACACTGACGTTTTATAACCTGCACTTGCCGACCAAGAACAGCCCCATGTCCTATCACACAATCGACAGAATGGCTTTCAGGAAGAAATGACAACCAGTCTACTGGGTTGTCATAACCTGGCATTTCTTCTGCTTCAATAAGATGTACATTGTGACTTGAAGCAACTCGTTTATCCTCTTCACTGCACTGAGGGAGATAAACACTGACCTCCACGCTGGGGTGTTTTGCCAACTGAATGGCCACCTCTCGGTTGATGGTTGACAAGCCTCCTTTTGTTGATCTCCATTCACTGCTTAACAGAGTAACTTTCAATTTCCTTGAGGAAGTGGATCCTGAATTGCTTTCATGGCCTTCCTGTGATGTAGAGGCTGTGCTAGGAAAGGATGACAATTCCTAAAAGAAGAGTGGCATTAATTTATTAAAGGGTTCATTAAAAAGCTAACCTGAGATCAGGCTCAATTTTAGCAGTTCTCACACATTCTCACTTACGTAGTCCCGCTAAAATTGTCTTTTCGTTTCGCCTTGCCCGCCGGAATGTTATTTACAAAGAGAAACGAAAACAGAGCCTGGTCTCAGGTTATTTAAAAGCATTTTTAATACAGCCTAAACTCCCATTACGGACACCTCTATAATACGGACAGTTCGTTTGGTCGCAGAAATGCCAAAAATCATACATTCCCTACCTCTATAATACGGACACCTCTGTAAAGCGGACACTTGGTTCTGTCCCTTTGGTGTCCGTATTAAAAAGGTTTGACTGAAGTAAGTTTTTGCAAACTTTAATTGAGCATGGTCTTCTACTGCTTTTCTGTCAGCGAGTGCACTTGAAAAAACTGACTAGAAAAACATGCCGGACATTTTTTGAGATTGGGCTACCTGTGGTGTCTCATATATATGTATTCTCAGTTTTCACATGACGTCACCAAAAATTCAAATTAAGAAACCATCGATTCTTCTGAGTTTCATGAGGCATTACAGCACCTAAACACCTTTATTTAAACAAAGTTTTTGTTCGAAAGGGTTCTTCATTTTGCGATAGAGGACATTTAAATTTCTAGGCTTTTGCGTCACGCGGCATTTAGCTGGCGGCCGGGAAGGCTCTTATGTGGGTTAAAAACATTACCAATTTTAGGAGATTTTGCTATCTACACATTGCTCGTCTCAGAATAAATATCACTTTAATCCTTTATGACTTTCTCAAGCGATGAATTCATGCACTAGTAGGAAAACTCAAAAACAGATGTTTCTGTTGGTTTCCGGCAGCCATATTTGTGCCCCTCAAAGGGACACAAACGAGTGTGTATAATATGCGAGCCAGCGAGCCAGCGAGTCATGCGAGTCAACATGTGAGTCAACATGCGAGTCATGCGAGTCAGCATAAAATAACTTTGTTTTTAACGTAAACTACTAAGTAACGTATCTGTTCCAAAGGCAGGTCCTTTAAAATTCAGCTTCAGAAAAATTCGCCAACATACAAATTGAACGAGGTGAAACAATAACAAAGGTTTGAGAATGCGTTAAACAAAGGTTTAAAGGTTCTTCCTCGGTCACGTTTAATGAGTCACACCATATGTGGTAAGCCACGTGACCAGAACATAAAAAACACTCTTTAAAACCCAAACGTCTCGCGTCTTTCATAATAAAACCAATGCCAATGGCTTAAGAATATCGCGATAAAAACTCTGACTTACTAACAAGTTTAATGTTCCTTCTCAAAATTGACAGTTATTGAAAAAGCTATGACGTCATTGAGGGGTATTTTCGTTAGCGAGTCAACATTTTACGAGTTTATTCCTTGCGATTTACTTAAGATGTTTCTTTTCTTCAATTTTATACACTCGATAAAATTGCGGGCGACATGACTTAGGACTCATGACTTCGGGCGAGACGACTTTCGGGCGACTTGACCGGTTACCTTTTCATACATTTTCTTTAAAAGACTTTCTTGCTGTCGTCTGAACGCTAATTTCATGCTACAAATGTTAAAAAAGTTAAATTGCTTATGATTCGCCAAAAAAGGGATTCTCTTTCCTTCGAACTTCTGTCTCGCATGGCTCACATGATGACTCGCATGACTCGCATGACTCACTGGCTCGACTCGCATGACTCGCTGGCTCGCTGGCTCGCAGTTTGTCAAGACCCGACACAAACATGGCGTCTCCATACAAAGCTCTATAAATTTGGGTCAAACGTTTTTCCGAATATCTCACATATGAAATATCGCACAGACCTGAGTCTTGTCGAGGCCTTTTACATATTTATCTTCTTTTATTTCCTAGATTCTGGACTTTCTGTATTGAATGGTTTGCAATTTTATTTTTGATTGCATGACAGCAAGTGTAAACACTTCACGTGGACTGGCCCAGTATGATTTGTTCATATGATTGAAAAGGAAGGGGGACAGAGACAACTTACACGGTGAAAGGTCAAACATTCATGATGCACGTTACTAAGAGGGTTTCAACAGTGCATTATGCATGTACCACTCTATGAGGTGTGAACTACTGTACATGTAAGTAAACTACCAATTTAATGATATGAAATGAATAAAACGATCACTAAGTGAAAATGCTTTAATCGTTAATCAAATTCTCTTAACTATATGTAATTCTTTTAACCCTTTGAAGTCTAATATCAAAATTCAAATTCTCATTTGTTGTCCCTATTTGTTTTCAATAGAAGTAGTGGGGAGAATTTGTTGAAATATCAATTAGATTCATCTAGTGTGATCAGGTCCTCAATTCTCATGACCACTGTGTTTTATAAAGAAGTGATACTACAAGGAGAAATTTGATGCTGATCACTCTTAGGGCTTAAAGGGTTAAGGAATGTATTGAGATCAGTCTGGAGAATTTGTATGCGGATACTGGTGCTTAAAGGGTTGAAACAAGCCATTGAAGCCCACACAGCAACAGCTTATCTTTGTTTGAGAAGAACTATTCCCAGCCCAACTTCCCCCCACCCCACCCTGGATGGGATACTAGTCCACCACAGCATTGCTCCCAATGGTATGTAGCCAATTTAAAAAAAAACTCACAAATAAAGACCTGTGAGAAGAGAGGTAAAGGAAGAAATAGTTTCTTGACTAAGATCAAAACTCAAAAAAAATTATGTTGTTAGTAAAATCTATATTTAATTAGATTTTTATTAAGTCGGATAATGTTACCTTTTCACCAGATATTTAGAATTTAAAGCTCAGAAAGAAATACTATTCAAATTTTTTCTTTACCATTCTTTTTGCTTATGTCTATGTTATCCCTTTGATGAAATTATTATATTTTTGAAAAACCTATGTATTTTTCTGTAATTCCTAATAATGCAGACAATCTTTTGAGATCATGACACTAGTCATTCTGTTGTTTTCTACAAAATAATTTTTTGACATCATAGATCACATTTCATCTACTTTTACATGTTACAGATCATGCCTGTTGAATAAAAGGAGAAAACACAAAAAGACAGAAAAAATACTCACAATACTCAAAATACTGTCTTAATATTTGTGCTTGGTAACGTACAAAAGGAATATTTAAGAAGGAATCCACCAGGAAAACGAGTAATTTTAATTCTCAGTGGACAAAAAAGCTTGTACCTGCAGAATAATTTTTAAAAGGCCTCGGGAAGAAAAAAATTCATTAAAAGATTATTATTCACTTGATCGTACTTAAACCAACGATTTTGTAACTAGGGCACATAAGGCTTTATTCTGGGCGAGTTTGAGGCCAGGTTATATTTTGACTATTTCCTCGTCTTAAGTTGATAATTACATGGAGCTGCTCTTAACAATATTGCATTCTTTTTACCTTTTTCAAGAGCTAAAGATGTAAGTGGTCATCTGTACTAACACCAAAGAAAATTTCTCATGGGAGTCCAAGAAAATGAATGTCAAATTTCACAAGAATTGTGAAAACACAGGAAAAGTGCTGAAAATTTAATGTGTAAGATGTAATTTTGTGAAATTTAACATATTCATTTTCTCGGGCTCCCATGAGAAATTTTCTTTGGTGTTATCACAGAAGAGATGGAGATGTAGATGTAAATTTTCTTTGGTGTTATCACAGAAGAGATGGAGATGGAGATGGAGATGAAAATAATGGAGATGTAATTATTACATCTCCAACCTTTGAAAAATGTAAAAAAGAATGCAATATGCTTTCAATTATTCTGGTACAGGATTTTTGTCCACTAAAAATTAAAATTACTCAATTTCCTGGTGGATTCCCTCTTTATTTAACCCACTGAGAGAATCACTGAGAATTTAGAATTGCTTTTGAACGATATTGTAGAAAAACTTTAAACAGGTGACGAGTATGTTTGGGCATATTTTAAAAAATTGCCCTGAAAAAATAAAATTAATGGGTAAACAGCAGATCTATCACATACACAACTGAAATTAGTCCTGATGTCTTGACGATATGTAGTTATTAACAATTGCATTGTTTCTTCGCCTCCATATATCTAAAATGGTTCCCTTGGGAGTTTACAGATTGACACACGCACTCAGGGAGGGGGGTGGGGTAGAGGTTGGGAAACTTCCATGTTTGGCTCACTCAGTATGTGCAGCTCTGCATGATAGAGGTTTATGGGAATTCAATCTCAAAAAAAAGTATTCAATGTCACTATTTAGCATTTTAAACGGGGTAGCAATTTGAATCCATTTTGCTTTAAACAGGGTCAGAATCGAAGGGTTTTAGCAGCACAGACCCAGCCAGACTTGCTTTAAACCCCCCCCCCCCCAGAAAAGTTTCTTCCCTTATGCATAAGGATAGTACTGTTATTACTTTGATGGTTTTTTCTGAGTTAAAACTCAAGAGATGGAACAGAGGGGGCTGAAATCAGACCTCCCCTGATTCAGAGTCTGACATGATTAACATCCCTCAACCAACATTCAAAACCACAACTAGAACTAATTCTCACACCTCAAACATTACAACTTGTTTACAAGATACCAAGAAAAATCAGCCTTCACTTGACTAACACTATTAGCTAACAGATGACAAATTTTGTTTACCTCCAGCAGCCTTGACATCACAGGAATCCTAAAAATCCTTCAACACTGCAGACATGAACACTACGACAGGAACAGAGAAAGAAAGTACACATTGTAAATAATGGTGCAATGTTGTAAACTACATGTACCATTTGACACTTTCTTTTTGTGGGAGTTTAATTAATTATATAATAATTTTGTGGATTTATGATTTCTTGTAATTCGCAACAACTAATAATTAGTTGTTGGGCCTATCCCAATTATTATTATTGGGACTGGTCCAGTCTGATTTTTCTCCTTCTGAATCTTAACAACTGCATTATATTTTTTATTTGAGTCAAAATACAGGTAAACAAACATTTGAAAATGTTGTAGGTAAAATCTGTTCTCAGGGTAAACCAGAATTTCATTGTCACCTACACACTGTACATCTGTATGATTAATACAGGCTAAGAGAGAAAGGAAATTCTGAACGAAACTAGGTTTAAAATAATATTTTAGTCCTGGCCCTGGTTTTTCAAACACTGGATTAAGTGCTATGGATAAATTTCTATCCAGCGATATAGAGATTTATCAAGTGGATAGAGTTATTCACCTTTTGAACAACTGGGGCCAGGTTTAACCAGAGAACAGATTTCACATACAACAAAATAAATACTGTATTATCTTTCTAAGTTATTACAGACTTGGGGAGGTCACTTTTTTGCAGCAATGTGTTTACTGGGGGGGCGGGGAGAGTGGGGAGTGGGAGGTGGTTGGGTTTACTTCTTACAGTTTCATGTGGATCTTGATGGAAACTACAAAAATTTCAAAAACCACCAAAATAAAAAGCCACAAGCTAAGGTATAAATAAAGTAGTGATAGGTGGGCTGGCACTTTCAGGATAACTTAATTTGCATTAAAACTACATATAAACAATCTAATTCTTTTTAAAGGTGTATTTTTCAAAAGAATACCCTCTTTCTATTCCAACTTTACAGTGTATTAGCATTAATGCTTTTTTCAAAAGAATATTATTTTATCCCATAAGTATGCTGACTGAAGAAGGGGAGTCCTGGACTCCACTGTCTGGAGAATACTGAGGTGTACATTCCCCACGGGGGAGGGTAGACATCCCTCATTTAGCCTAAACAGGCACGTTCAGCTGAACAACTTGGGGTTTATGGGGGTCTTAAGTTTTAAACAAGTTATAAAATTTCACTATTTAGCATCTTGAACAGGGTGTTTTTTATCAAAATAATTTGAGCTTTAAGTAATGGTCCGCAGGGCTCCAAATCAAAAAAATCTTCAGGTCGCCTTTTGGCGACCAACCAGAGAAATATAGTCGCCAGACGCAAAGTTTTAGTCGCCAGTTTGTAAAATGTAAATGACGCAGCTCATAGCCAGGGCATCGAGCAGAAGCGGAGCCGCAAAATTCACAAAAACACGCGAAATTCCGCGAAATTCAGTAGAAATCTTATCAAATACATACATGTCTGTACAACATATTTGAAACTTATCTCAGCTATTGGGGCTCTTTACTTGACGTAAAATAATTGCAAATTTATCTTGATACTTCGTCTCTGAAACGTGCAAATAACGTCCCAAAACTACTAGTTATGTTGCGAAAAACTGGGCACTAGCCAAGATGTTAAAGGCTTTACCATTGCTTCATTTCTGGAGCGTATTGTAGTTGAAAGAGCAAATGATGACCTCTGTTAGAAAAACGTTAAAAACGCTGGTCTGATCGGCGCAAAACCGATCAATATCTGACAAAATTTTCCCTCAAATATGACTACAAGATCGGCCTTTTTTACCGCTTGATTTTTGGAGAAGTTTGCCCCAAACATTCCTGTGAAGGTGCTGCAAAATCGGCCGATTTTTCCGCGAATTTGCCCCTAAAAATCCTGCGAAATATGACTTTTTTCCGCTACCTATCAGAAGCCCAGCATAGTATGGCGCGATCCATCAGATTTGAAAATATCATGAAGTCAGTATAAACTTGGAGGTAAACTGGCTTTGTTTATGCGATTTGGTACATTTTTCATGATGAAAGCAAAGCAAGATAAGATGAAATGTTTGTTTTAATTTTACTCTTCTAAAATCTGATCGCCACTTTGGCGACTAAACCAGAATTTTTAGTCGCCAAGGAAAAAATGTTAGTCGCATTGGTGACGCAATGTTAGTCGCAATTTTGAGCCCTGGTCCGTGTAAAAACTAGGCAGGCAGATGGCAAAAATATTGATTAAAAGGTGTTAACTTTTAATCATTAATTTCAATTAAATCAAGGGTTCTGATTGGCTGAAATTCAAAAATTGCCAAAAAAACAGCAAGAAATGTGACAAAAACAACTTTTTTTAGCTTTATTTTCCCCATTCTTGTATCGTTTACCTCACGCCCAAGTTTAGGCATTGTTCTATTCGCCAATCAAAATTAAGAGCGGAAAACATGCAACACACACGTGACCTTGTTGTGAACCATCTTGGATGTGATATTTGAGATATGAGGAAATTTGTCTTTTACCCGAAGAAATATAGTCAATTTCATCACTTCATCTACAGTACATATTTCCCTTTATTGATTGTTTATTGCTTTTATTCAATGTATTTTATCATTGGAGTGATTGTGAAAGTCCTACTGCAGCAGCGTTTGCAGCTGTCCTCAACATGTTGTCGAGTAGCCATGTAGACAAGTAGGATTGAAGCAGTTGTTTATGTTGTCAAGAGGAGATCGCTTTGATTCAGTGATGATTCAGAGTAATTGTGGAAAATAGCTGGGCACAAAGACTAGAAGCCATAGATTTGTTCTTTATACAGAAATAAATTAAATTTCTTAAACCGATGTGAAGCCACCTGAGTGAGCTTGAGGTAAGCAGCAACCAAAAAATTTTTGCATCTCCGCATGATGTGACTGTGTAGTTACTTTGTCCTTCTCGAAACGTCAGTATTCTGTGTATCTTTACTCTTCTCTAATTCGATTTGTTTTCTTTCTCGAATGTTTCATTGAACTAAGTGCAATTAACTTAAGACGAACGAATTGAAATTTGTGATTGTAATTTCACAACAGTTGTAAGACGGCAGCCGATTAGTTATCATAATTATATAATACAAATGTAGTTCTCACTAGTTTTGAGTGTTACCCAGTACGCAAGACCATGCAAGTTTGACTGTAACTGTTGCCTTTACTTTTTCTAAGAATGAAAGTAGGTTTTGCGGAGATATTTAGACTAAAAATATATCTACCATGTAAGACTGCGAAGAGAGCTTCTTCTGAAACCGAATTCTCCAAACATCCGTGAATTTTTTTCTGTATGGACAATCGTCTTTTTATTTAAATGCGCGCCATTAGGATAACCCTTTGACATGATTTATGAAATTGTTGTTCTTTATGGTGGCAAAATAATAACGTGCGGCTTTGGCGTATTTGCCATGTGAACTTGAATATTATTACTGCTGTTTCCGATCACGGTTTTGACATTTCCTTTGTGAGAGCCGAAGTAGCTGTCTTTCACAAGGTCGCCAATTAATGTATTCCTGTGCCATTTTCATGTAATTTTATATCAGTTTAACTTTGCTCGGGTTTGGCGCATAGAAATCCTCTAAATTTTTCGATAAGTTATATTTTTCAAGATATCAAAGCAGTAGACAAAATAAAAAGTTGTTTGAATGACTCTTTTGCTATCTTAATTCATTTCTAAAATTCAAACTTTGCACTTTTTACCCTCTTGACCAATCAGAGCATTCAAATTTAATTTGATTAGAGAAATTAGCACCTAAAAAATAACTGTCGCTATTGCACTGGCCTATTGTTCTTTTGCCTAGTTCTTACACGGATCCGTACTTAAACTGGGTGTGAATATTTGGTGATCCACAGTCTACAAGTATAATTCCATCATTATTATTATTATAATCTAATCCCTTGATGCCAGTTTAAGGAAATGGATCAGGGTCATGAAATGAGTTTTCTTATCTTAAACAGGGAAGTGAAGAGAATGGTTTTTTGTTTAAATAGGATGAAGGCCTTTTGGCAACAAACCCCTACCCAAACTTCCCTTCAGTTTTCCCCCCGCCCCCATCCCCGCCACCCCAGGGAATTTTAATACTGTAAGACTAAACATTTCTTCTGCAGTAATAAAATTCTAATTGTGACAAAATTATCAAATAATTCAAAATAACTTACCAAAGCTTGGTACATGGATCCTTGACCTCTGAAACCCACACATCATGAAATTTGAACTGATTGGTAGCAGGAACCTTCATAATAAAATCAAGGGCAATGTGTAAAGACAAAGAACAGTTCGCTTAGTTACATATAATTATTGCTTTTATGGAACCGGTGCCGCTGCACTGCCTGGCTGATGGTACTGTCACTCACCAGTCAATAAACCTCCCCCCTCTCCCACACTCAGCCAAGACATCCATGTACTGTAGCAGGGCATTTGACTGGTAGGCTTTGCTTTGCAAATGTGACTCCAGGATTTCAAAAAGGAAAAGTAATAATCCTTTTTCCATTTGTATTTGTAACACCTTCTTTAAGTTACTTCAATTCTATGATGGTTTGTAGCTTCATGCTTGTATCATGTACAGTGTACAGGACTTTGATATTCACATTGCCACATTTTAGGCAATTACTGTATTTCCTAGAATAAACTCGCGCTCTAATAACCGCCCTCCCCCAAAAAGGTGCCCACCTCATAGGCCATACATGTACATATAAAATATCAAACAACACCCCTTGTGAATAAGCTCCCCCTCCCCCCAAGGCTGGGGATACTCTGGATTTCAAGTGACATGAATGATCGAATGGGGGTAAAAATCAAAACCCCAAAAAATCCTTAGGGCTTCCAACAAAACCCCCAAAAAATCCCCGGACCAAAAATTGACCCCAAAAACATCCCATGCCAAATTTCTAAGCCTTGACATTTGCAGAAGGCTTTAAATGATATAACTCAAAAAATATGAACAATAGAAATTGAATGTTTGTGTTTGTTTATTCATCATACCATCTGAATCTTCAGATTGTTTTGAATACCCAAAAAATCCCTTCTTAAATCAAGTCCCCAGAAAAAATGCTCGCCAATTTTTTCTACCTAGAAAAATCCCGGAGTCTAAAATATCCAAACCTCAAAAAATCCTTCGATCATCCCCGTCACTTGAAATCTGGATTACCCCTCTGGGCCCCTCCCCACCCATTCACTTTCTTAAATAGTTAGGATACAAGGAGAACATGTTTCTATTTCCACTTAATTGATGAGAGAAACAATATTTCATGATAATAATGAGATCAAAAATAAGCAAACCAATCCAAGTACACATGTTAAGTGTGTAATGGGGCTATGGTACACTTAATTACCAACCACTCTTTCAACAGATGAAAGGCAATAATGTTGGCTTAACGTTTACATAATTTGCTTTTCTATTAAAAATTTAGCTAAAATAAAGCCACAATTCATTGAAAAGAAAACTTAATAAGCGACCTTCTCCCAATAAGTGCCCGTCTCCTTTTAACCGAAATTTGTAACAAGAGCCCAGGCTCTTTTAAGAGGAAAACAGTAATATAATTTTTATTTTGCAAAGTTTTCATCTGCTCATTCCCTAATAATTATGAGAAACTCACAACCTGAGTCTGACGTCTGGCATCTGCCGTAAACGTAATTGTAAATCTCTTCGATGTCTGGCCACATCGAAGGGCCAAATCATAATGACCGTTTTAAATAAGGTGTCAGAAAACTTAGAAGCTGTAAAATGCATGGCTGGTTCTGCTGTAAGTTACAATGCAAGACGCATTTCAATTCATTAGAGTCACGCGATATGTCTCGTGTACTCGACTGCAGAAAGATCACTGATTGCACATGCCTTAGGGCCTAATAGAAAAGTTATAAGTTGCAGTTTTCTTTTCGAATGTAAAAATAACGGAGGCCTTGTGAATTTACAGGAAGAAAGTTAGATTATAAATTCAATAAGCTTACGCTTAATGCTTACCTAAACTTCAGGAATCTTGCAACGAAAATGCAGCCACGTGGAGGCCATCTTTGCTTCCATATCGTCACAGTTAGGCATAAGGAAACGCTTGGTGAGAAGATTGAATCAGCCCATGACTGCAAGACTGATGAAAACGGCTAGAAGTTTGAAAGTTCCTCACGAAATTGTACAGATTCTCTTCCCTGCAACGCTTCCGCCTCGGCTCCCTTGGTAAGAAGCATGAAGGGATGATTTCATTGGTCAAACGCTGTCACATGATGTGTCACGTGAAAAATTACCAGGGTGGAATAATGGAAGAGCGGACAGAGGACTTGGATGAGGAGAAAATGGAACAATTTGTTTACATTCTAATGTGATACGTATAGGTGAAGAAGACACAACAAAACGCAAAAAAGTGACAATAACAAGCAGCAAAAAAGAAAAAAACAAAACAGAAAAACAAAGAAAACAAACAAAAGAAAGCAGCGGACCTTCATGTCAGCCTACTTGTCCAGGATAACGACAATACAGAGCCAGGAGCCTAAGAGCGCCGGCGTAAAAATGACGAGGAAAAAACAGCGAGAGGAAATCTCCCCTCGTTTTCCCTTTGTACGCTTTTCAAAACACGCTCCGGTCCCCACAATCTGAACTCCGCGCTCTCGTTCCTCGTTCCTCTTTGCCCGAAACCGCACGGAAACGCTTGCTACGCAGGCTAAGAAGACCGGCTAAGAACAGGCTAGCTCCGGGGTAATAGGCAGTCCTGATAGAACTAACCTTAAAATTAAAAAAAGGGCAAGAACAAAGATGTCATTAAAAGAAGGGTTACAAGGTGTTATAATGGACAATACAAACTTGCGCAGCTGTCAGGATTTGGCATCGGCGAATAATTCTCTATTCCACAATTACCTTTCTGCTTAAGTTTTACTACCATAAGCGAGGCTTTTTTAAATGTTGTTTTCGGGCATGGGTGATTAGATGCTATGAATGGATTTTGGAAGAAAGGATTAAGCCAATGTCGTCTGCGCATCGAGTATCGGTAAACAGTAGAGGAACAAGGACAAAGCCTTGTGAGTACTGATGACAGAAAGCGAGAGCCGAGGTTTTAGTCCTACTGACACAAGAGAGGGTTTTTTGTTGTTTTTTGTTTTTCGAACATGGGTGTAGTGAGGGTGCTGAAAGAAATAAAGTTGTCGTGTTGTAAATGCCCCTTTGAGTTTTTTACCAAAGTGGCAAATGATGAAAAAGGACACCCACCCGCAGTCCCTTTTGATAGCCTTTTTGACACCCACAATGACAGCTAGACCTCACGAACGGGACGAGGCTCTATTCGCCATTTGTACATCTCCCATAATACACCTTGTTTGCCCCCCAAACATTTTGTATACGCGTTGTCTTCAATTTTTCTTAAGGTGGCTATAATACCCAGGAGAAATTAAACAAAAGTCCTGGAAAATTTGGGGGGACAAACAAGGTGTATTACAAGAGATGTGCAAATGGCGAATGCTGTTTTCGAAAAGCGGAGTCTTTATTTACGCTTTTACTAAATAGACCGCATTCGTATTGTTAACAGGTGACTGCAACTAGCATGAAACATAGCCTAATGTGTGGTAATTAGATGAATGAGCCTCGATTGTAAGCTAGTTCCAGTCAATTACCGCGACTAAGATTGCGCAGGTGTAACCTGAATTAGGCCTAGTCCAAACGTCTAACTTTTCATCAGACAAACCAAACTCTAATTTGGGTCGAGCTAAAATAAGTTAAGATCGTCTGTTGGGTCAAACGTCGAACTTAGGACGCGTCGAACAGATCGAAATGCAATTTAATAACTTTTCTCCCAAACGAGGCTAAATATACATTATCATACAACTTATTCATTTATTCATTGTTTAGCTCGTTGCATGTGAAGGTTTTCGGATCTCCTGGAGACGATCTTCACAAGTTCTATCCATCTGAAGTAGACGGATACAACGTGTTGGACGATCCAAATTCATTCAGACAAACTTAACTGAGCCAGACGTCGAACATTTCATGAACTTAACTCACTAAGTTTGTTTTGTCTCATTCTTTTTTAGACAGGGTATGGGATTATCCTAAGTTTCAAGGTTTCAGTGTGAACGATTGTGATAACTAATGGATTGATTAAATTTTGTAAGAGGATTAAGGAAAGTACTTCTTATGCCAAATGCAGATCCCTCTTCGTAGTCGCAGGATGGTAAAAACCGTCTGCAAATGTCACTTCAGCTCCTAATAGGTCCTAATATAAGAGATTGATTCTGAAAGAGATTGATCGTAAAAGCAAGTCTAGAAGACACGATTATTTCTTTCCCGAAGAGGTCATAAGTGGGAGAAGACAGAAGTGGGAAAGAGAGCTCTTTTACGATTTCAAAATACTATTATTTGTTGTTGTATTAGCTCAGGCGTTTCATTTAACAAACCAATAGAGGAGTTCACGCTAATGGTTGCATCATGGCAGACTCGTACCCAGTCGCTATTTAAGGTTTTTTACCACGCGCGCGCCTCAACCTAATCCCCAATCTTCTCTCATCCCAAACAAACCTTAAATAGCGACTGGGTACGAGTCTGGCATCATGGGTAATCAGGGCAAGATGGCGGGAAATTCGAAGATTTGCATTAGAATTCAAAGCCCGCTATTTCTTCCTGAATTCATATATTCGATGCTTTCTTTTTGAAAAGAGTAACTCACGAGTTCAAAGAAACAATACACTAAATCTGGAGTGCAAAGAAGTCCGTTATCAGTTTTTAGAAAACCTTGATTTTCCCATACATTTTCTTTAATTCGACAGTATCAAAATTACAGAAGATGTATGGAAAAATTGAAGTTTTCGGACCTGGCTTTCCAAATCAAGGATGAAGAGAGAAAATTGGATGGGTCACCAGTGGGCTGCAGTGGCTTTAGAGTACACTAGGCATTTACAGTAGGCTGAGTTCAACTTTTTCTTTTCTTTTTTTTGCAGTGCTGTCAACTCTCCCGGATAATCCGAGAGACTCCAGATTTTAGACTGTACCTCCCAGTCTCCAGATTAGAGTCTCATATCTCCCGGATAATCGCCAAAGTTGCTATTTCTTGTAGACTCGACTTTCCGACCATAAATTTTCAAATATTTTGCGTTGTTTGAGCTACTGTAACATGAAACGTCTCCCCATAAATTCTGGTATGCCACTGTAATTTAAGCTATAATGTGCTAAATATGAACTGTTTATGTGCTATTTACGTCGATCGCAATCAGCGAGCATTTTTGGCACATATGAGGTCATTTGTGGTGCGATATGACGTCATC